TATAAACTGAAGTATAAACCAGAGCATTGATCTGAAGTATTACTCTAGAGTATAAACTGGAGTATAAACCAGAGTATAAACTGAAGTAATTAAACTAGATTGGTTTGGTTTTAGATTTACTTAGTACTTCGCAAAATCAAATCAAATTTTGAATTTGAACCAAATATTTGAAATTATTTGACCAAATCAATAAAAATTTGATCAAATAATTGCAAATATTTGATTCAAATTCAAAATTTGATTTGATTTTGCAGAGTACTAGATTTACTCCACTGGTTTATAACCCAAACCAAACCAAACCAACTCATTAACAACACTACCTACAAATTAATAAATTATATTACAGTATTATTATTTTTTTTAACTATGCTTGACAATCTGTTTTTCCAATAAAAAATATTTTTGCAAACTTTTTTGAAACATTATATTGCATTAGAAAACATAGATAAATACAGAAACTTTTGTTTTCTGAAATAACCAATAAGTAAAAGCAAGTAGAAACACTACATACTAATATTATTGATTTCTTCACAATATGATTTTGATAACTTTAAAGTAATATGAGTTTTTTTGGATTTATATGTATGTAATTGTTATTGGTTTGACCTCATTGTCTAATTCTACAGTATTTCATGCAGCAAAAATTTTAAAATTAAGTGTATATACGGTATATATATCGATATATAAGCTTATATTGATATATCAAAAATTATTAAATTAGCCAAATTTTAAAACATTTAAATCCATAAGTATTTTATAAAATTAGATTAATGTATTTTATAAAATTAGATTAATTGTACGTACGTACTAACTACAGTTGATACTGTCTAATTAATATTGCATATTCTCTAACGCTAAATGCGAACGTAAAGAGAAATTAGGCAGTATCAACCAACCGTATTTAGCGATAGGCAACTTAAAAAGCAATAATAAAAAAAAAATTTTATTTCAGAACAAAGATATTAATAATTATGATATTCATTATGATTTTTTAGGATTTGGAGGTTTATAATCATAATTCCATCCAGTTAATGGAGGAGTTTCTGTAGGAATTTTCATTTGCCTAGGAAACATAATTTTATTTCCCATTTGTGCGCTATTAAATAATCTAGGTTCTAATTTTTCAAGTTCAATATTCGCTTCATTTAACATTCGATATTTTGCTGCTAATTCATTTTCCCTTTTCTCTTGTTGATTACGTAAGAATAATTTCCATGCTCGATCGATGGTTTGATGTCTTTCGAGATCTTGTTCTGTCATTTTAGGAAGTTCAGGCTTAGGTGTTTCGTAAAGAATTCTTTTAATTATCTGATAACGTGTATCAGTAATGTTAGTATTTTGTGAACCAGGCATTCCTGGTGGTGGAGATCCTTTAGATTTTTTATCAGACCGAGCTAAAAGGCCACGAATTGCTGTTGTTGAAAGTGTAGAACGATAAAAAAAATGATTTTTTGACATTTTTTTTTTTTTTTGGTGACAAGTTTACGATAATCATTATTAAAAACAGAAATCCTAAACTGATCTTAATATGGATGTTTGCTTTGTGTACTTGTCGTGCGTGGCTCGGATTAACAGGCAGCGCATAAATGCCTAAATACGTAAGCAAATTCATTTGTTATAAGGAATCGTTTAACCAAAATATCATTCCTCCACTTAAACTTTCTCCTTCACGTGAAAAATAATTGAATTTTATTGAAATAAACGGCTACAGTTGAATCATAAAATAAAATGGAGGGTAATAAAGACGAAGCACTACGGTGTCTCAAAATAGCACGAGATCATTTAGCATCAGGGAATGTACCTAGCGCGATTAAATTTGCACAAAAATCAATAAATTTATTCCCGACACCAGAAGCACAAACATTCCTTAAGCAAACTGAGTCTAAAAAAACTCCAAATGGTCGAGAAAATAACAATCGCCAAACCCCATCGCCAAGTACATCCAGAGAACATAAACAAGGAAGACAAATAGGTGATTATACTACTGAACAAGCTGAGGCTGTCAAGCGAATAAGGGCTTGTAGAACCCACGATTACTATGCTATACTGGGAATAAACAAAGATGCTACCGATTCGGATGTTAAAAAGGCTTATCGAAAGGTTAGATAAATATATATACAATTATTATTATTATTCAGTTTTTTATTTTTTTAAGAATTACGCCTGAATTATTTTTAGGATATTTTCCAATCCATTCGGAAAATAATTTCATTAATAATGCAATAATTGCTAAAACTCTTTCATCCTTCCGCAACATAGTTGGCTTTACAAATGCATCCAGATAAAAATGCTGCGCCTGGTGCTGATGAGGCATTCAAAAGTTAGTAAATCTGTTTTTCTTTAATTCTATAAAATATTATCCTTATTACGCGTTAATTTAATTAATTATTATTTTTTATTTTAACAATTTAGTGGTTAGCAAGGCTTTTCAAATACTCAGCGATTCACAAAAGCGTGCTATATTTGATGAGCACGGTGCTGACCCAGATTCACGAAGTAGTGGAATCCCTCCTGGTTTTAGAAGTTTTAACAATGGATTTGGAAACGGTACTGTTTACGCTGATGAAATTTCACCAGAGGAAATATTTAATATGTTTTTCGGTGGGGATGGTACGCAATTTTATATTATTATATATACATATATACATATGGGATGAATCAATAGAAATCAAGCAAAGTTTTTATAATAAAATTTTTTTAAACTTTGAATACAAATAATTTAACAAAAACTTAATCAAATTTGATATTTTTTTTTTAAATTAATTTTATCATATTTGATCAAATTTTGTTAAATTATATCAATTTAAAGTTTTTAAAAAATTATATTATAAAAAATTTACTTGATTTTTATTGACTCATCCCATATGTATATATATATATTTATTTGTTTATTTTTTTTTTATTTTTATTTTTTTGATTATATCTTTTAATTCTTTTATAGGTTTTCATTCAGCGACTTTCGTTGGTCCAGGATTCCGTACACGAAGGTTTCAACCACGTAGAGCATCACCAAATGGAGAAGGCGCTCGGGAACAGCATACTTCCCCATTACTTACATTTTTTCAACTTTTACCTCTCATCCTCCTTTTCTTATTCTCTTTTTCTTCTAGTTGGTTTTACCCTGCACATGAACCAATGCCATCATATTCTCTTCAAGAAACTAGTCGTTATACACAACACAGATTTACTTATTCGCTGCAAGTTCCTTATTTTGTCGAACCTTCTCGATTTTCTTCTGTTGAACAAAATCCACGGCAATTACGTCAATTTGAAGATCATATAGAAGTTGCATATATAAAAAGATTACACTTAGATTGTAATGCTGAGTTCACGACTAAACAACGTATGATAAATGAGGCCAAAGGATGGTTATTTCGTGATGACGAAAAATTAAAGGCTGCTGAGGCAAGGAGTTTACCAAATTGTGAAAAACTTATGGAAATTAGTAGATCAAAAAGGTATAAAGAAATTCAACACTTGGTAAGAAGCTGAATTTAGTGATTGTAGTCGATTAAAAAAAGAAAAAACATAAGCTTAGCCGAGTCGGTAATTTTGATACGGTCAAGCAGGTTTAATTGTACATTTTGATGTCCAAGGCCTTTTTTGCCGTATCCAACGTCCAGGTCCAAGAATGTCCAAGCATGTTATAAAGTTTAAATTTTATATAAAAAAAACATAATTATATATAAAATTAAGTGTTGACTATTTTTTTACTTAATAAATTAAATCAAGTGGCCCATAATAAAATTTTTATTTTTTAATATTACATATCAATATCTTTCAAAAGATGTTTATATCTAATTTTAATAATTTATTTACAAAAGAAAACAAAATATTGTAGATTTGGAAGAATATGGGATATTTGTTATTTTATTTCATTATTTTTATTTCATTTTTATTTTCTTTTTTGATTTTATGATTTTCTTATTATGTTTTATTAGACAAAGTTATGTTAAAAATCTTTTTAGTGATTGATCGCCTTTCACTTATCCACTGATAGAGTTTTCGTTTATAACGTTATAGTTTTTATAAAAAAATTAGCTCCAGAAATTTAAATTTCTTTTTACAAAATAATTGATAAGTAACCTTTACTAAAATATGTGTGAACAATTTTTGCTATTTGTTTTTAGTTTACATCCTTTAGTTTAATTAGTAAAATACTTGTTGATATCTTTGGTATCATCTCTGTACTTTTATTATGTAATACAATTTATACCATTGGTATTATTTTTTGTACAGGAAAGAAAAATAAAATAAAATGAAGTAGGGTACCGTTCCTAATTAAAATCAGAAGTTTTCAATATATTATAGAAAATGGCAAATTATGAAGATTGTGTAAACAAAAAAAAAAAAAAAAGGATAGACTAAGTTTAAACTAGAAAACTAGGTAACAAGAATCTAGTAATGAATCAAAAAACTACAATTTAAGAATCTTATTTTTTTTTACACCTGAGTTGCAAATGTTTGATAAATGGATTAAAAAAAAAAAAAAAAACTATTTAAAAGTTATAATTATACACTTTCTTCTGGAGTAGTACGCATAATTGTTTCGATTCTTTTAACTCTGATATAATCCGAAACGCTTCGGATAACGATAAACCAACCCAAGAACATAAGAATGTAGCTATAAACGTATTATAATATTATAATGTATGAATTCAATAATTAAGTAATCATAAAAAAAAAGAAGGTATATAACTAACCTTAGCCATGCTCTGCGTGCTAATTCTTTATCACTTAAGTCGGCCTCATCATAACTATAATACATACCATCATCCTGGAACGACCTACCGCGAAGATAAAAACCATATTGTACCAATGTGATGCCTAGACCAGCTCGGGAGCCATTCTAGATTAATAATAATAAAAAAAAAAGTTTTTAGACGGTCAAATTAACAAATACGATCAAACTATGGATATAATGGAATTTTGGTCTATCAATAAAAATTTTTAAAAAATCCGTTACATTTTTTTTTAATACTAACATACACATAACGGATTTATAATAAATTATTATTTTTAAAATCCGTTATATATATGTCCGCTAAATCCATAGCTGACTTACTATCAATAAATTCATTTTGTACCTTAGCAGCATGGTTAGTATGTAAAAGGTATGTCAATAAGAATCCAACAAATTGAAAACTCATTGATACTATTTTTTAAAAAAAAAATCAGGTCAACAATTCAATTAATAATTGTATTAATTAAAACCAATCGGATATTTTAACAACTTACCAAGCATATTCCAAATGAAACTGAAAAAGTTTCCCACGGGTAAACCTTCTACAAGGACTTCATCCCCGCATAATCCGGGTGCAATGACAGTCGTTTCCCAGTATGGAGGTGTAGCATCGGCCGCAGCAGTTTCGTATGACTGGACAAATCGTCAACATTTGTTAATGCCATTCATTAGATACAATGTATGAGAAAAAATTCTATCTTACTGGTGGGTTTTCATCTTCTTTATTAGTTTCTGTGTCAGGCTTAGCCGACAAATTGGAGAACACTCCGTCAGTGACGACGGGCAAAGTTGCTGGTGCTGTTTGTTTCTTTGTCGAGCTCAATATAGGAAATCTGCTATTGCCATTATCATTTTCTGGTTCGTTATCTGTCGAAGCAGTGTCTTTCGAATGTTCAAGAATGGGTTCTGATTCTATTATGTCATTGTTATTAGCAGTGTGTGTAGAGTAAGCAGGACTTGGAGAACGTGATGCAGAGGATTCGGCAGTTGAAGACGGAACTTGGAGTTCAACAACCTGAACGTCATCACTTTCAGGTACCTGATTATTAACAAAATATTTTTAGCCACACCTTTTAAAGATTCTTCAAACTTGATCAGCCTCTAGCACAAAAATAGGTTGATACTACTCTAAAATAATATATTAAAGGGACCCGCTTACTCGTGAATATCCACTCATTTTATATATTTATGTATATATATTGTACAAATTCTAAGGTTAAGAAAATTTATAAGCTGCCTTATATTGTACTTCTTGGAAATGAAAAAAATAAAGGAAAGAAAGAAATACGTGACTAATTTACGGCAAAGGTTAAAATAAAAGAATAACCTATTAAATATATATTTATTATATGCTTAGATTATACAAGGGCAAACATTAGGTCGTATAGTGTAAAATTTTATACTGGTAGCCGTTAGAAACCCGGAGAAGAAATTACCAAAGCCATATTTCAAAATCACGCCTTTAATGAAGTAACTGCCAATCATGTATCATTTTTTGATATGAACCGCATATAACAGATATGGTGTAACCACATGACAATGTAAAAGATAGATTTATATCGATTTATTTGACAATGAATTCACTTATCACACAATTTATCACTCAACAAAAAATTTCACTGATTTTCATAAATTGAAACTATTTTCCATTTGCTGGACTCGATTTTGCCGGACTCGGTGGACGTTCGCGTTCAAGGGGAACAAACTTCAATGCTTCGCCATCGTATCTATTTAATAAACGTATTTATGTTTATTTATCCATTATTCATTTAGATTTTATTAATATGATAATAATATACCTGTAATCGAAAAATAATTCTTGACCAGGTTCGAGATCGCTCATCGCATAAATTCCTATACGATGTTCCCCATTTACTAACGTAACTAAATATTCATTTAATATTAAAATGATTATTAAACGAATCAAACTAAATTATGTAATCAGTTGCGATTTTGAAAACTTACCACGACAAAATGCGTTTGGATCATTGGAATGGTTAATGAACCTAAATTTATTACCCTTTCGTGTTGCGTCCACAACAAAATCTACAAAACATGTCATTATTAACGTTTCGATTATTTCAGCCAAATTTTGTATTTAATGTCACTAACCTTTATTCAAATTGAATAAAAAGCTGGTGCCTCTTTTATCGTATATTTTTCCACGTCTATCTGCCTCAGCTTGTGAAATCACCTATAACAATTATGTTTGATGATACTTTAAAAATTTGGCACACAATATAAAATAACATGGATTCATAATAAATTTACTTACCTCGCCAATGTATTCTCCCAAATACTCGTTTTTCTTGACTGGCTCTCTTACAAAAAGACCCCAGCCAGCAACGGTTGATTTTCCAACAATTGTACGCTAATGTAGAATGATAAATAGAAGAATTGACGTTTGAATCAAGTTTCGTAAAGCATAAATCATGTCATAATTACCTTTGTCAAAGCTCTTTGTATAGCTACATTCTTACACGCGTGTCTACCCATAAATTGTGCAGTGGTCGGTTCTAAATAATAAAAAATTCGTTTATCTTGTAAATAAATAGTAATATAAATAGACCGATTCGAGAAATATATAATCTACCTGAGGCTGTACATCCGCATAAATCAGGATCACATTCACGGTAATTAGCAAAACAAACGCATGTTCTATTGCTGCACGATTTCCCAGCGCCTGTACAGTTGCATCCTGGAAATCGCCGCGGACCTTTAAAATAAGGTTGATGTTTTGAAAACATTCGAAAATAGACATTTTAAATAATAAATAATAATTAATAATTCTGTATAGTTTCAAAAATAAGCACCCGTGGCTCGAACTATACCAATTTTGGCCTGCATTATAATTATCTTGACTGATATTACATGCAAAAAAAGGCGCTTATTTTCGGAACTATACAGAAATAATTATACAAATGCTTACAATCAAGTTCACAATGACAGTACTTTTCACAAGGTACGTTGCCTTGTCTACAAGGACACGATGTATCACAAGGTCTTCCAGGGTGATCACATGGGTGATATTCTGAATGATTTTCTGCGTCAATTTCTGAAATGGTTATATAAAATAAATTATCTATAACGCCTTCCTTTCTCATTTCTTAAGAATTAAATGTCAAATTATTTTACCCATTTTTGCCATTTTCTTGCCCTTTTTTCGTGGATCATCTGATGACGAACCAATTTCAATATGCTCATCATCTTTGTCAATCTCTCCGAGTAACTGAGATCTACGATAAATCTATTTAATTCATCCAATTAATAATGTGTTTCCATAAATGTACGGTAAATATTTGAACATTTATAAACCTGTTCACAAGTTTTAGTCATCACTATTGTTGCTACACTGCAATAATTCTTAATCCCCATAAGATATCCAGCCTTCTCAAATAGTGCAATTTCAACATCATCCCAACTGTCTGTCATATATGCATCTTGACTGTCTTCTTTGAAATGAATATAGCAATTCGATCCACATGGTTTGGTTTTACTGATAGGAGGACGTGGGCGTTTTTTGTTTCCAGATGGTCTGAAATCGGTGCCTAACATAAAACGTACATAATAAAACTAATTCTGTAAAATCACGTCGAAACACAAACTGAGTGATACAAATGAAATCCTAATCATTATATTTTTATATAAATATCGAAATATTAATAAAAGTAATTTGATACGAACCATGAAGTTTACAATCATACACATAACATCTACGACACCAAAGACTCGAATAAGAATGCATCAACATATCCGAAATTATGGGACCACCTGACCTGATTTGAAGACTTAACAGAAGAGATATTTCAAATTTCTTCTATAGATAAATAATATGTTTACTCATGAAGGCCGTAAAGAATTCAATAATAATGTAAATTATACCTGTCCAAATCTATGGTTCTTGTTTCACTACGCGCATATTCCAGATACCTATCAGAAAAATGATTAAAACCTATTGTGATCATGTAATTAATAATTTGGGGTTTATAATATCTTACCTACTTACCATCTTCTTGATATCTTTTCCTTTCAAAAATTTTGCAAGCACTTTAAGAGTAACCTCAATAAATGAAACATCCATATTCTCATCATTGTTATCGGTAGGACTAGCCCTGTTTTCTATTACCGGCAGTCGTGCAATCCTTGAGGTCGTTGAGGTCGTTAAAGGTGCAGTAGATGTTTTGCTCGATTTTGGACCTTCTAATTTAGCTATAGATTTTTCTATAAGTGCTATCGGAATATGATTCTGCCTGAAAATGTAATGCATGGTCTTTATAGCAATTTGCTCTCCTATCATAGTAATTAAATAAAGCATAAGAAAAATTTGCCTAAAACATGATATTTATAATTCGCTCTTTTTCACAATACAACCTTCCAGATCATATGCATTTTTGCCTACTATGCTTTCTTCATAAACATCAAAATAATCAACGTCATCATCGTCTTCACTGTCTTCTCCAAAATAGTAGAGATGTCTCAATACAGGATCATCTTCTGTCTATACATTGAATAATTTAGTCATATTCAATAGTTTTTCATAATTATTGTCATTAAGTGAGATTACAATTAATACCTTTGAACTTCTTGTAATTGGAGTCCATAATGCATATTTCGGAATTTCACTTTGAATTGGAATGCTTATAGCCAGACGTTTATCCGAACGCTTTTTACGATGAGTAGTTGATAAATAATCCTGTAAAGTTTTATTCAAATCTATCAGAAATAATTTATGCGTTTCGGAAATTCTTGTGGTTATCTCACCTGAACATTTAAATCAATCTTAAGCGAAGGCGGTCTTCCTTTCGCTGGAGCTTTTGAGTGACCTGCATTATTAGTGTTGCTTTTTACCTTCGTTACAGGCAAGTTTTCAAAAGGAGGATATGGATCTCCCCTGAAATTAGAACGAATTTCCTTGACACTTTTATCGCACTGAAGCAGTAAAGCTTGTACTTTTGTACTGCTTTCACGCACAAGTGCCTATTGAGGTCATTCAATAGGATATATGATTGATGACAAAACCATTAATTATTAAGAAATTTTATTTTGTTAATTTAAAAATACGCGAAAAATCCAAATACCTTATTTTCTAACTGTCTTGCATCATAAAATTCTTCGCGTGTTTTAATATACTCCTTTTCAATTTCTTCTTTCAAAACTGCCAACGGTTTACCATTATACTTATTCATACTATTACGCGTGAATTGAAGAAGTGCGAAAAATTGTTTTCTCAAATATACCGGGTGTTCCAAAAGTCACTATTTTTATATTGATTACGATGATCTCTATATAAAAGAGGATCTCTGATGACATCTCTGATTGGTTGATGCTATTTATTTATGCAGTTTATACTTTTTTTATCGTGATTGGCCAAAATTTATTTATTGTGTAACTAATATATGGTTTAAAGTACTTTTTGAACGTAACGTTTCACTAACGCTAAAACAAACTTTATTATTAGCTTTAGAAAAGTGTCAAATTTCACTGTGCAAAGAAACTTTCCAAAAAGCCCAAATTGACATATGCTATTTACTAGATCATGTAGAACATGTGTGATAATTAAATAAGAAACAAATGTAAACTAATCATACATTAAACTTTGAACGAAGTTTTCTCAAAAACCACTTCAATGATTTCGGTAAAAAAATTTTTGTCAAATTCTAAAGCCACGTAGAATCAAATAAAAAGGTTTTATCAAAATCGGCTAAGTGGTTATTGAGAAAACTTTGATCACAAGTGTTTTCTTAGAAGTGAAAATTGTTTGTTTTATACAAAACAAAAGTTTTTCCGCACCTATATCATCTCGCAGAGGCGTTACAGTCTTAAAACTTAGTGATCTTGGCCGATAGTGAAAAAATCGGCTGATCGATTTTATTACTAGGATTGTAGCATTCAAAGTAGAAAATGAATGAACCTAGGCCAAGATTTTCAGTAAAGTCCGAATTACAGCTGTTTTCATAAATTCTGAAAAATATGGCAAAAATTGACCGACCGAATATTTGCAGTTTATCACTCTAATCAAATCGGCAAATATTCGGTCGGTTAATTTTTTCCAGGTTTTTCAGAATTTATGAAATGAAAACAGCTGTAAAATGGTGTAAATCAGCTAAGCCGACTAAGTCATAACCGAAATATTATGATCGGCCAACCCCATTATACATAACAACCGCATAAAAATTCGCGGTCTCGTGATGATATACGCTAACATTTCATTGGCCAAAACAAACCGCAAATCGTCAACGCGTTTTTCGATCAAAAAATTAACTTTTTTGACATTAGGATAAGGGTGAGCACTTAGAATGATAGTAGAAAAGGCGGGTCATATAGCAAAATTTTGCAAGGAATTTTTTTGCTAAGTAGTCGAAATTTTGAAAGCCGGCAGTTTGTTTTGTTTTCACATTACACCTGATCCTGTGTCGTGATTGGTTTAAAATCACGTGTTACCGGACATTTTATGCGGTTTCTACAGTGCAAGACTCACAAACTTTAAAAGCTTATAATATTTGGGTGTTGGTAAGAGAAAACCTGTAAACCAATTCATTGATTTTCACTCTGGCGAGCTCAGCCCCTGAAAAAT